ATTGCTACACCATTTTACAATCCTACTTAATCTTGCCGAACCTCAATTTCCTTGTCTATAAACTGGGGATAATAATAGTGCCTACCTCCCAGGGTTTTTTGGAAGGATTAAATAAGTAGGTTCATAGAAACAGTTGTTATAAATAATATAGTAAGTGCTCAGTAAATGTTAGCTCTTAAATCTGGTGGTGGATAATAACAACACTGATAAATGTTATTTTATTTCTCAACCTTATTATTTCTGGCTTATTTTTATTAAATGAATTGAAATATTGTGGATAGTTCATAAAGCAGTATAATAAATGAAAACTTCGCATTTCATTAGTTGTCTTTTGTACTTTAATTAGTAGGAGTCATCAGATATGTCCTTAAAAGGAATAGGTGAAGTCATGGCTCCCTGCTGGCTTAGTCAGACATCTGAATGGGTGGTTTATTGTTATGATTATTATTTTTAGAGTTTAGTGTATGTGTGGCAAAGGCAAAGTCTTGTTTTTGTTACACCACCCTTCACCCTTCACAATTCTAAGTTCTCTCATTGAGAAGTAAGGGAACAGAGCTCACAGCGCCTTTCCACTACTTCCCAACAGTTCTTATCGTAGAAGTCCTTGTGCCAGTGAAATTGATTAAGAAATAGAAATACTGGCCAGGCAAGGAGTCTCATGCCTATAATCCTAGCACTCTGGGAGGCTGAGGTGGGAGGATCGCTTGAGGTCAGGAGTTCGAGACTAGCCTGAGCAAGAGCATGACCCCATCTCTACTAAAAATAGGTGTACCTGTAGTCCCAGCTACTTGGGAAGCTGAGGCAGGAGGTTCGCTTGAGCCCAGGAGTTAGAGATTGCTGTGAACTAGGCTGATGCCATGATACTCTAGCCCGGGCAATAGAGCAAGACTTTGTCTCAAAAAGAAGAAGAAGAAGAAAAATAGAAATACCATCATTCATTCATTCATTCATTCATTTATGAGACAGGATCTCACCGTGTCACCCAGGCTAGAGTGCAGTGGTGTTATCATAGCTCACTGCAACCTCAAACTTCTGGGCTCAAGCAATTCTCCTGCCTTGGCCTACTAAGTAGCTGGGACTACAGGTGCATGCCACTACACCCAGTTAAATTTTGTATTTTTTTTGTACAGATGGGGTCTCACTCTGTTGCCCAGATTGGTATCAAACTCCTGGGCTCAAGCAGTCCTCCCACTTGGGCCTCCAAAAATGCTGGGATTACAAGCATGAGCCACCAGGCCTAATTGAATACAATAGTTTAAAAGGAAGATAAAGTTTATACTGCAAGATATTGTTTAAGGAGAAGGATAGCAGGAGCTATTTGTGGACTTTGGAAAGAAAGTTCATTAAATTGAGTTAAAATTGGAGATGGGAAGAAGGAAGCCACTTTTGTAACTTTAAGGTAATAGTAAGAATAATAGTGAGCACACGGATGTGGTAGCTCATGCCCATAATCCCAGCTCCCAGTTTTGGGAGGCCTAGAAGGGAGGATTGCTTGAAGCCAGGAGTTCAAGACCAGCCTCAGCAACATAGTGAGACACTGTCTCTACAAAAAATTTTTAAAAAATAGCTGAGCATGGCGGCCTATGCCTATAATCTTGGCTACTTGGGAGGCTGAGGCAGGAGGATCACTGGAGCTCAGGAGTTTGAGGTTGTAGTGAGCTAGGATGACACCATTGCACCCCAGCCTGGGTGACAGAGTGAGACCCTGTCTCGAAAAAGAAAAAAAAAGAAAGTACTTACAGAGCATTTACTATGAGCCAGACACTATTTTAACTACTTATACAAAACTAACTCATTCTTACAAAACCCCTGAGGGATATAAGTATTATTGTTCCCATTTTACAAACAAGAAAACTGAGGCACAGAGAGGTTTAAGAGGTTAAATCTTTTATGGAATAATATTTAGGTGAGTTCAGCATTATCTCAAAAATTTTTACCCCATTTTAGAGACTTTGTCCCTGGGGTGGGATGGGGGCAGGGGTGATGGGATGGAGAATGGAAATTATAGAATCTTTAAATTATACACATGAACCCAGCAAAGCGAATCTCTCCATACACGTTAAACCCTCACTCCCACCCCAAGCGAAAATGCATTCACTTAGTTGACAGATGTGCACTTGGAGCCTTCTAATGTCAGACACTCCATGCTTCTCTCTCCATGCTTCTCTCTCCCCACAGTTTAGCTATGGCAAGACCTTGGCCACAGTGTTCTAGAAGCCTTCAGAGAGAGTAGTGTTTTTGTTTGTAAAAGTTTGCCTTTTACTTTTAGAAAGGGGAAGCATCTGATAAAAAGGTATTTCTTACTGATGCAAAATTATCTTTAAATCCAATGTACTTGTGTCATTTATTTACATAGTACACATTCATTTCTGTAGTTTTTGGCAAGCCTGTAACATTGTGGGCTTAGACTTTGTAACTTTTATTAACAAGTGATTTATTTGGTCCTCCCAGCCCTTGGATACATCCAGATATGTAAAGTCGAGGGGGATACCTTGCGCTTTCAGAAAGTAGCATAAGCATACTTTCTGTATCCAAGGCTGTTTTCGGTTGTTTTGGAATTCTTGTGAACACTAAGAGTGCAACTAAGCCGAGCTCAAAGAGTTCTCATCTTTGGCCTAAAAATAAGATTGTGAATCCATTTTCCAGTCTTTAGAGAATCCCCTGTGCTGATTTACCAAAGATACAAACCACTTCCCTTGTCAGAGAATCACGCATTTAAGATGGAGCCGCCTGTAAGGAAGCAGAAGGGAGCGTGTCCAGGGACGGAGGCACAGTCACTGCAGATGTGGAGGAGCATTTGGTGGCTGGATGAATGCTAGTGAGTCGGGACAGGGAATCGGCACATTCCAAGCATGGAGATAGCCTAACAATCGGGTGAAGAGTTTTTACCTAGCTTTTAGGTTATGTTCATGTAATTGGGGGGAAAGTTGTGTTTTTCTCAACTGGTATTTAAATTTTTAGGACAGGTGTGGTAGCTTGGGTCTATGCTCCCAGCACCTTCAGAGACCAAGTCATAAGGATTGCTTGAGGCCAGCAGTTCGAGACCAGCCTGGGCAACATAACAAGACCCTGTCTCTACAAATAATTTAAAAAATGAGCCAGGCGTGGTCGTGTGCGCCTGTAGTCCCAGCTACTCGTGAGGCTGAGGCAGGAAGATCTTTTGACGCCAGGAGTTTGAGACTTCAGTGAGCTGTGATTGCACCACTGTACTCTAGCCTGGGTGACAGAGCAAAACACTGTCTCAAAAAAACAAATATATGATAAACACCAGGAAGTGAGAATGGTAAGAAAAAAAATAAAGCAGATTAAGAGGATAGAGAATAACCAGAATGCTATTTCATTTGGGTGGACTGGGAAGGAATCTCTGAGGGGATAAATATGTTCCCACAGTGTTCTGTCTTTTGTTTTGTGGGTCATTAAGAGAGCTATGATGAGTTCCTACTTCTCTCTTATTCTTTAGCACTAAGAAAGATTAATACCTAAACTCTTCATTCCTTTGTCGTTCTTCCTCATACTTAAGAGCCTAAGCACCTTCCTCCATCCATGTCTTTATTCTTCATCCAAAAATCATGACTTAGTATCTGTTTTGATTTTCCAAAACCTTGGGATATGATTCATTTGATTAAAATTATATTGTGCAATTAAATGCCTTCCAGATGTTTGATTATAAAGTGGAATTGCTTCTGGAGAGAGCTCTTTTATCCAAGTCCTCCTTCTGGGGAGCTCACAGTCATTGAAATTTGATGTCTTGGGTGATCTTACAGCGATCCTAGCCTTAATGCCTAAAAGCCCTAAATAAAGTTGTACGCCGCTCAAGTGTTCTATAGCATTGCACAAGTCTAAAATAGGTAACTGCCCCCCCTCACACACATACACCTCATTGTTGGCTAACTGACTTGTTCCATAAATAGCTCAGTGTTACATGATCAGACAACTAGAACTATCAGGGAAGGGATTTTTGTTTCCTAATACACATGTGCAGTCTCTGGTAGTCAACAAAATTCAAGTCCAATTCCCTGGACACTAACTGTAACATAGTTCTTAGGAGAATTGTGCAAATCAGTAGTCAAATCATTTTGGATGGAATTCAAGATAACCCTGCCTCACACCAAATTCCACATTATGGAAAACAGTGCAAGAGCAAGATTCAGTTTTAGTTCCCATAGTTGCATGAAGTAATGTTTCTGCCCCAATCTGGTTAATCCCAGAGAGTCTCTGCTGAGCAAGTTAAAAATTGTCAGTTGTATCTGAGGAGACATCATAGTAGTTTTATAAATCTGTTTTTCTGAGTATCAAGAGCATGTTTTAAAAACCTGTCTACTATTGGAGGATAGTGGTGCTTGTTTCTAACTCTTAGTTGGAATGCATTGTTTTTGTGTCTGAAAGATTTTTCTAATGCTATGCTTTAATACGGAGGTCCCCGAACCCCAGTCAGACTGTTAGGGACAGGGCCGCAGAGCTCCTTTCACCCCCTCCCCCGAACCATCCATGGAAAAATTGTCTTCCATGAAACTGGTCCCTGGTGCCAAAAAGGTTGGGGACCGCTGAACAGAACATTGCTTCATAAATTCCTTAGAGCTAACTCAGAAGGTGAACCTTGGGGCATTTTTCCAGATAAATCTGTGCTCTTTGGGTGCAAAACATTGCTGCCTAGGTAATTCATGATAGTACGTAGGGTTCAATCTGTGCCTCAGGTATTTTTTCTTTTCTTTTACTGGGCTCTTTTTCAAAATGGCAGTATGTTTATTACATTTGTTAAGGTCAAAATACCAAATCTAAAATACATGATTTAAAAAAAAAATCTCTCTGCTATTTATTATTACTGTTAAAATGCTACTTACCATTGCTGACAATTTTGAACAAAAGTATCCAATATGTTTGTGATATCAAAGTTACTAGCAGTTTTTTCCCTAAATGCTGATGTTGTATTTTTGTTTCTAAGTTCAGTACATTTTATAGTCAGAGCTTCATAGACCCAGTTGTGGACCTTTCCATGGCCATGCTGAATGTCTACATTTTGAAATTTTAAAGCTAAAATTCAGTTCAAGAATACTGTCTTTAGTCTACCAAAAGGGCTGAAAACATTTATTTTTATAACTGTGTGAATATTTAGTAGATTTGAAAGGGGAGTAAAGAAAAAAACAACCAAACCACTGATTGTTTGTTTAACAGATTGTAAACCATGGCTGTGTGGATACAAGCTCAGCAGCTCCAAGGAGAAGCCCTTCATCAGATGCAGGCGTTATATGGCCAACATTTCCCCATTGAGGTGCGGCATTATTTATCCCAGTGGATTGAAAGCCAAGCTTGGTAGGTGAACAAAGAATTTTGCATCATTTTGTGAAGCACAAGAATATTGAAGTTTGATTAGAAAGATGTCATAATGTTGGCTGGGCGCAGTGGCTCATGCCTGTAACCCTAGCACTCTGGGAGGCCGAGGCAGGCGGATTGCTCAAGGCCAGGAATTCGAAACCAGCAAGAGCAAGACCCCATCTCTACTATAAATAGAAAGAAATTAATTGGCCAACTAATATATATAGAAAAAATTAGCCGGCATTTTTTTTGGTGGTCATTTTTGCCTGTAGTTTCCCAGCCTATCTGGGAACTGAGGCAGCAGGATTGCTTGAGCCCCAGAGTTTTTGAGGTCTGTGAGCTAGGCTGAATGCCTGGCACTCACTCTACATCGGTTGCAACAAAGTGGAGTACTCTGTCTCGAAAAAAAGAAAGAAAGATGTCATGATGTTATTTGATTAAAGACGAATCGTTACTCTGTCACCGTCAGGCTATGTATGCCAATGGTGTTCAGCTAGCCACATCATGAGACTGTTGAATTTCCTGAGCTCAAGGGATTCTCCTGCCGAGCCTCTCCACATAGCTGGACTATAGGCATGGCTCCACCGACGCCTGTAATTTTTTCTATTTTAATAGAGATGGATCTCACTCCTTGCTTAGGCTGCGTCTCAAAAACTCTGACCATTCACAGTGACCCTCCCGCCTTGGCCTCACCAGAGTGCTAGATTACAGATTGACCAACCTGTTTGGCCTATTTAAAGTTGCTTTTAAGAAAAAATTTATGCGATTCATTTCGATCCCATCTATAATAAATTAAGAAATGGGAATAACTTGGGATTTTTTAAACAGGATTTGTCCTTTTTTTTTTTTTTTTTTGAGACAGAGTCTTGTGTCCCACTCTGTCACTCCAGGCTAGAGTACAGTGGCATCCATCATAACTCACTGCAACCTCAAAACTCCTTAGACTCAAGCATCCTCCTGCCTCAGCTGTCCCCAAATCGCGGCACTACAGGAAACAGAGCCATCAGTTTTTCTACATTTTTTTAAGAGTGGGGTCTCACCGTTTTTTTCAAGCTCTCGAATTCCTGATAAGCAGTCCTTTCCTGCCTCGGCCTTACAGAGTGCATAGGAATTATAGGTGTGCAGCCACTCACCTGCCATGACTTCTTCCCTTTCATATCTATAATAATAAATACTGGCTGGGCATATGGTTCACACCTCCTTAATCCAGCATCTTGAGGTCAGGCCAGGAAGTTGCTTTGAGCTCAGGATTTTAAGACAACCTGGATTAACCACAGGATAATCTCTATAAAAAATTTAAAAATTAGCTGGGTTTATTGTGCTGAGTCCAGTGATTTGAGGTTACAATGACTGTGACAGGCCTGCTGTAACTCCAGCCTGGGAGAGACCCCATCTCCTTATTTAAAAAAAAAAAATTGCCCAGGCGCGGTGGCTCACGCCTGTAAGTCCTAGCACTTCTGGAAGCCGAGCAGGCTATTCCCGAGCTAGGAGTTCCAAACCCGAGCTGAGCAATGAGCGAGACCCCCTCTCTACATAAATAGAAAATAATTGGCCAACTAATAAATATATAGAAAAAAATTAGCTTGCATGGGCACAATGCCCTTAGTCCCAGCCTACTTGGATGCTGAGGCAGGGGAGATTGCTGACCCGAGTTTAGGGTGCTGTGACTAGCTAACGCTTACGCCACTTGCACTCTAGCCGGGCAACAAAGTGAGACTGCTCAAAAAAAAAAAAAAAAAAAGCAAATACTGATTAACAGCATTAGAATATTGCTGTTAATAAAAACAACCACCAATGTTTAGTCCATAGGTACCAACGCAGTGTCCACCAGTAGTCGAATATATAATAAAAAATAAAGCCTTGTCTCCAAAGAAGGGCACCGTGCAGGGTGGCACCATGCTGACTCAGCTACTGGAGTAGCTTAGGTAGGAGATTCACTGAGAGCCCCAGAGTTCAAAGGCCCAGCCGGGCAACACTAGGGATTACCCTGTCCCTTTAAAAAAAAAAAAAAAAGCCCCGGCCCGCTGTGGCTCACCCTGTAATCCACTCTTGGGGAGCCGAGACGGCGATGCCTCCAATGCCAGGATCAAACCAGCCTGAGCAAGAGCGAACCCGTCATCTCGAATAAAATAAGAAAGAAACCAACTGGCCAACGATTAGATATTATAAAAAATTAGGCCCGGCATCGGGGGCCAGCCGTACGTGCCCCAGCCTACTCGGAGAGGCGTGCAGAAAGCACTCCCGGCCCAGATTTGTTGCGGAGCTAGCTGACGCCACCGCACGCCACCTAGCCCCTGGGCAACAAAGCGAGACTCTGTCTCAAAAAAAAAAAAAAAAAAAGAAAGATCGACGCGAAAAATAGTGTTAAGGGGATGATAGTGATGAATATGCATATAGGTTTATATACATTTTATTAAAAGTAAATTATCGTCGACAAATTATGTAAAAATTTAATCCAACAACAATTAATATTTAATAAAATAAATTATTTAACAGGAAAGGCATTGATGTTTTTTAATTTATATGTATTTTATATATACAGAGAAAGACTAAAAGAAAATACACCAAAATATTAACAATAATTACATTTTGGTGGTAAATTTAGCAAGCATTTTAATTTTTCTCTATTTTCCAAATTACCAATTACTATTTGGGGGAGGTGAAGTTGTTTTAACGTTCTTTTAGAATTAGTACAAACGCAGTTTTTTAATTGACGCCATTATTACACACGGGGCAGCAGGTTGTACACTGCCCTGCTCCAGGTCTGGGAGCTTGTTGGTTGGTGACAGTATGCCAGTCCATCTGGCATAGATACTTCAGCCCTCCACCATCGTGGGCAGAGGTCCTCTTCGACGGCCTCTGGGAAGAGCCAGCCTTGGTGCTACTATTTGAAGAGGGCCACATACCTGCCTGTGATGTTGCCTTGGAATAATGGCTGTTGCATGTCAGCAGCAGATTTCTGTTCAGAAACTAGAGAGCAACCGAAGGCGGGCAATTTTCTAGGCAATTAAAAAAGTCTCAGCTTCATGTAATTAACTGAGGAGAAAACCGAGCTACATATGAGAATGTCAACTGCACCTTGTTTAGTGCTTTTCCACTCCCTTTTCATTTTCTTCTCTGTTTTAATGATTGGGAGGATGTAGAAAAACAGTAGGCAGTTCCTGTTCATTTACAATTTCACTTAGCAGATTTCCCATATAGTCTTCTTACTGAGTGTTAACAGACTCATGTTGATACTAAGGAAAACCTGAATTTTACTTAATTTTGGTTTTCTTCAGAATGTAAACATTTTAATAAAAAAATATTCAATTCTTCATGTTTTAGCTGTCTAATGAAGTCTGTCTTTTTTTTTTTTTTTTTTTTAAGAGACAGAGTTTCACTCTGTGGCCCATGCTGGAGTACACTGGCACCATCATAGCTCACTGTAGCCTTGATGTCCCGGGCTCAAGAGATCCTCCTGCCTTAGCCTTCTGAGTAGCTGGGACTACAGGTGCAAGCCACCACACCTGGCTAATTTTTCTATTTTTTATAGAGACAGGCTCTTGCTGTGTTGCCCAGGATGGTCTTAAACTCCTCGGCTCAAGCCATCCTCCTGCAGTTGTGAGCCACCATGCCTGGCCCTGTCTTTTTTTTTAGCAAAGAATTAAGGTTTCAAGTAAAGAACCAGTACTTGACTTCCATGAATTTTGCTCGGATGCTGGATCCTCTCAAGACGGGGTGCCCCAGACCAGGAGCACTATTGCCCGTCAGAACAGAGGTGCAGGGCTGCCCCTCAGTCCTTCCAGACTTTTATTTAATACTTATTTAATACATAGAGTATAGTTGTTTAAAATTTGACTTTCTTTACTGCCTTCCCAAGGTGCAGATGTGGGTGTGCTATCTGATGAAGTACAGTATTGATGTTTTTGTATACTTGTTTGTGCCTCTGTCTGAAATCAGTTGCTAACTAACTTCAGGGATTTAGGGATGACAGAGCCTTTTAGCTACCACTGTCTTGTTTGGCTGCAGACCTTGTCGGCAGTAACTGAATGTTATTTCAGTCTGACAGCTGTTTAGTTTCTTCAGTGAGCTAAGTAATTCAGCACTGCCCAGCGGCAATTGTTGCCTAAGTTGTGGAAAGAAAGGAAGAAAGGAGGAAAGAAAGAAAGGAGGAAGACCATCCCATCTCTGTCACCAGCCAAATGGCTATGAATTAACACAGAGTCCATAGAGTGGTTTATCTTGTTCACTGCAAGTTAGCACTGCCTACGGGTCCCAGATCTGCAGCAAGTGATATAAATGTCTGACTCCTATACATTCTTGTGGGCACCTTCTTCCTTAACGTCTCATTTCCAGGGCTTCTTAGAAATAGCGATAATGTGTTTCACCTGCCTCTGCTTAAGAACTACTCAATGTGAAATGAGCAACACAGACATTGAACTTGTTGAGGCTGGAAAGGACTCATAGAAGGGTCTTGACCTTGCGTCCCCTTTACACACTCGAGGGGTGTAAATAACAAAATAAATAGGAAATTATCTGAGTCTTTACTTCCTTCAGAGCACGCAAGGCACTGTCCTTTTCCCTTCAGTTCTAGGTGCAGAGATCACATAAGCACCAGAGCACGTCAATAGGAGGAAGGAGAATGGGCATTATATTGTTTTGAAAAAAAAAAAAAAGAAAGAAAAATACACTGTACAATCCTATTAAGATAATTAGTAGATTACAGATAGACTGATGTAGGCATTTATTCCATTTATGCTGGGCAGTTTCTTAAAATTTGCATTGAGCATTAGGAAGAAATCTTTAGTTAAAGAAAAAGTGTAATATGTTGAGGCTGCATTTATACAGGCTCCTGTGCATGTATATATACAGATTATGTAATTTTTTTCCCCTAGGGACTCAATAGATCTTGATAATCCACAGGAGAACATTAAGGCCACCCAGCTCCTGGAGGGCCTGGTGCAAGAGCTGCAGAAGAAGGCGGAGCACCAGGTGGGGGAAGATGGGTTTTTACTGAAGATCAAGCTGGGGCACTACGCCACGCAGCTCCAGGTGGGTGTGGACTCAGGGCACACTTAATTCTTGTGTGTTGGGGGAGGGCTTATTCCTTCTTGGCTTCCTAGAGAAACTCTCTTTCTCTTCTTCAAGCCAACATTGTTGAATTATATGTGACATGCACAAGATGCTTATGGTTTGGTTTTGTGGTTGTGGACTTTTTTTGAAAAAGCCCTTTTATTTGAAAATAAATGTAAAACTTACAGAAAGTTGCAGGAATGATGCAAAATCCCTACCTATGCCCAGATTCACCTAATGTTGACATTTGCTTTCACCTATTCTCCCTGCCCTCTCTCTTTATACACACACACGCACACACGCACACACACACACACACACATTTTTCAGTCACTTGAGAGTAAGCTGCACACATCGTGTCCCTGCACCCCTAAATAACTCAGTGTGCATTTTCTAGGAATATGAACCTTCTCTTACATGGTTATAATATACTTATCAGCTTCACTAAATTTAACATTGATATGATACTTTTAGGTACTCTTCTGTATTTTCATTTTGTCAGCTATCTCAGAAATGTTGTTTAGGGCATTTTTTTCCTCCTCCAGTCTGGGGCCCAGCCAAGATTACATATTGCATCTAGTTGTCACGTCTCTTTAATCTCCTTTAATGTGAAATCGTTTTGTAACCTTACTTTGTCTTTCATTACATTGACCTTTTAAAATAATTCTCCCTCCTTTTTAAAGATAAAATGTTCCTCATTTGGAATTTGTCTGATGTTTTCTCGTGATGAGAGTCACCTCATAGATCTCCAGTCAGAATTCTAAATACAGTCAGCCCTCTGTGTCTGGGGGTTCTGCATCCTTGGATTCAACCAACTGCAGATTGAAAATATTCGGAAAAAAATAATAATTAAAAGTTACAACACAACAATAAAAAATACAAATAAAAAACAATCCACTATAACATTTACATAGCATTTACATTGTATTAGATATAATAAATAATTGAGATGATTTAAAGTAGACAGGAGATGTTCATAGGTTGTGTGAGGATACTGCATCATTTATATCAGAGCCTTGAGCATCCACCACTTTATAATGTTACTGGCTGAGGGTGGAGGGTCCGGACAAGTCCCCTCAATGGATATCAAGGGACAACTCTGAGTGATTGTTCCTTCTTAGAGTGTCACATCCAGAGACATCAATGTCATCCGACCCTACATCTGGTGATAGTAACTTTTGATGCGCCGACGCTCAGGCTGGTGTCCAGTTTCTCCTCTGTGTGGCCTTTTTAAAACATTATTTATCCTAGGCCAAGAGGGGCTACATGTTACAACTAGCACCTAGAGGCCGAGGCGGGCGATTGCTTGAGGTCAGGATTTGAAAACCAGCTGAGCAAGAGCCGAGACCCATCTCTATACAGAAGAAATAATCTATTAGCATATATATTTTAATTATATTATACTATAAATATTTATCAAATGTAAGCAAAATATAGCTGGACATCGGTGGGCACATATGTCCATGGCTAGTTCCCAGCTACTTGGGAGTTATACCCTCATCACCACTGAGGCAGAGGATAGCTTTGAGTCCAGAAGTTTGAGGTTGCTGTGAGCTAGGCTGACACTCACAGCATCACTTCTCAGCCTGGGCAACCAAAGTGAGACTCTGTCTAAAAAAATTACCAAATAAAATAATATAAACTTATTTATCCTATTCAAGAATGTTGCCCAGTCTTGAGGCAAATTACACGATGCAAGAAATAAACACATCTTACTTTTCACTGTAATTGGGTTTTCTACAATGTGCTCTTCTTGTTCTTGTTAGAATGTGAGGAGCGCATCTCTTACGACTATGCATCATGTCCCCACAGGTGTTCCTCTCCATCACGAGGCCCTGTCCTGAGGCAGGCTTAGCACCCTGTAGCAGGGAAGGGGGAAAAAAGTGACATCTGCTCTGGATTCCTTTCAGAGCACATACAACCGCTGCCCCATGGATGCTGGTCGCTGCATCCGCCCATCTATGTACAACGAAACAGAGCGCTAGTCCCGAGAGGCCACAATGTGACGTATCTCGAGTGTGTGCGAGGCGAGTTGGGATGTTCCTTTTTCTTACACCACCTTCTTATCGTTGGACACAACTTCTCAGGGACTCATTGTGCATTCTTCTACGTCGAGCGTATATAAGGAAATCTTTGTCAGCAAAAAGAAATAAGAAGGAACGGTTGTCACCTGAATCCACCTAAATGATTTTAGAAAGCGTGATCGAGAATCGCAACCACAGAAAACATGAACAGGAGACCGGCGCGGGTGGGCTCACGGCCTGTAATTCCTTAGCACTCCTGCGAGGCCGTCCGGAGTTGTGAGATCACGCTTGAGACTTCAGGAGTTCAAGACCCAACCTGACAAGAGCGCAGATACGCATATCTCATCTACTAAAATATAATAGAAAGAAATTTAAGCTAGAGACAAACTAAATATATATAGAGAGAGAAATTAACTGCGGCATGGTGTGTCGCATGCCTGATAGTCCCAGCCTACTCCAGGAGGCATGAGGCAGGAGGATTGCTACTGACGCCCAGGGTTTGAGGTGCTGTGAGCACTCTATGGCTGTAAGCAACTGGCACTCTAGTACAGGAACTATGTAGTGAGCACTCTGCTCAAACAAAAAAAACAAACAAAAAAAACATGAACAAGTGCAATATAGTAGAGAACATGTAACCAGCAGAAATAAATTTGTCTTCAGTTAAAGCATGCTCATGTTCAGGTAAAGGATATTCAACAAGAAAGACTTCTACTTGCCCCTGCGAGACCGGGTGTTTTGTAGGATGACCTGTCACATTATCGCTTGGTCCACAGAGGACCTCCCTGTTATGCCACCCCAGAACTTCATTCAGAGCCTCTCTCAGGGTGCCTAGGTGGGAGGTTTGAGCTTCCCAATGCTGATACATTTATCCATATCTATATGCGTCTTTGACGCGACAGGACACAGATCGACGCTGTGTAGACTCCTATATCCCCCACTAGGTGTCCCCAGTGTCCTTAGCATCTGTTGTGGCCTGAGTGAATGGCTGCTAGGGATGAGAAGGTCACGCCATAGGCAACACGATAACTCAACCGGAATATGATGAGTTCTAGTCTCTCCCGAACGGGAATTCAAATGGCACCTCTTGGGATACTCTAGTGGATGTCAAGCTAGATCTGATAATATAATAAGAAAAGTTTGTACGATGCTGATCATGCAAGTGAATGCTGCAGTCAATTTGCTATCAGATCACCTGTTTCTTCCCTTCTTCGCGCTCCAGCCCCCCCGTCGCTCATAGACGTTTTGTTATTCACTGTAAATGTCAGCTTTTGGGGGCTTGCCAGTCAAGGAAGCTGACACAGGCTTCTCCTGGGGAACTGAGCCCTAAGGTCCCTCCCTTACCCCCCCCGACACTCTCCCCCGGCCTGCCTGCAGGGCAAGCTCTCCGGCTGGAAGTCTCGCTGCACGCCATGTCCCAGAACACCTTCAGACTCAACCAGACATTTGAGGAGCTGCGACTGGTCACGCAGAACCACAGAGACGAGCTGAAGAAGCTGCAAGCAGACGCAGGAGTACTTCATCAATCCAGTACCAGGAGAGCCTGAGGATCCAGGGTGGAGGCAGGGTGGCGGCTTGCCACGTGTGCCGGGGGTGGGAGCAGGACTAGAAAGCAGCTTTGGGTCAGGATGGAGGAGAAGCCATTTCCATTCAGAGGCGTTGGACCTGTCTCTGAGTAGGCCGGAATCATCTGCATTGAAGACCAGTGCTGGAGTGGTGAGGCTTAGAACGAAGACTGGTGCTTGCCCTTGGAGACTGTGGTCTCACTTGGCTTCCCTCGTTGGGGAAAAAGTCCAAAGGGGGGGGGCCTGCCGGGAAGCCCTTTTCCTCTTTTGGAAGAGACAAGCTCAGCAGTACTAAATAATAACAGTTACCAGAGCCCGCTACGGTGGTGTGTACTGTATGTCGGGACTATCTCTCAGGAGACAAGGACGGTGGGAGGATCACATGAAGGCCATGGATGTCGAGACCTAGCCTGAGCACATAGCAGACCTGTCTTTCTTGATATGAACTAGATAGATAGATAGAATGGATAGATAGATACGATATAGATAGATATGAATATTGAGGGGACCAGATATACCATTTAAGCCTTATATTTGATATATTATAGTTGGTTTTTATAGATGTATTGCTGTTACCTGAAGTCTGATTACGAAATTTATCAAATCTCTTACATGATTAAAACCCCTTCCTAAGCAGAGACAGCTATATGGGCCAAGGCCTGTATTACATGCAACTTTAGCTTTTGGGTCTTAGCCCAGTGTAGGAAGCTGACACAAGGCTTTTCCTAGGTACTGTAGACCTAAGGTCCCTCCTGTCCCCAACTGCCTGTCCATTTAAAGTTCTGTTCAGTCTGTTCAAAGAGGTTCCTGGGACAGAATAGCATTCATGCACCTCTGGTAGGCCTTTGTGACAAGCTCCCTATGCTTGTACTTGTGTGCACCAATATCAAAACTAGTCAGGTTGAGGATATGGAGTCCCACCAGCGCCCCTGTCTTTGACCTGTAGGCAACCTTTGGCAGTTTGAGCTTTAATAGTTTCCTCTCCCTGCTCGTGCCCTGATTCACAACCTCCCCAGAAGCCTGGCCTCAACAGTCCAGACTTATAGAAAAACACAGCAACATAGGCAATCGATGACGCGCTGCTGCCAACACACGTGCGTGATGTTAGTAGGGGAGCTCCATCTTATAAACTGTGTGTCTTGTATTGCTTGTTCTTACCTCTCGTTCCTCCCACTAGACTATTGAGATAAGTAGACATGTCAAATCCGATATTGTAGAGTATGGTGGATATTTTACTATAGGAATTTGCATGTAGCCAGCATGTTACCTCAATGCACAACAGGATACTGTATTATTTGTCACTGGAAGTGTTCAGACTAGATAGCAGTGTCTATACCACTCCTATGGAATCTCATCCCACATGACTGATCACCAAGAAAAGCATGATCTTATTGTGAGAATATATGACGGTAACAGCGAAGAAATTAGTCAGACCATTATTTATATCCCAGAGAAGTCTTCAACCCATATAATAAGATGTCATTGTATCCGAATGTTATATGGTTAAAATATAGATTTCAATTCCTGGTTAACAGTTATTTCCATAATATCAACTAAAATACGTCTCAGAAATACTGCCCAAATGGACTTCCCTGACATCAACATCAAGTAAAAAACCAAGGATTGGTTCCGGGACCCCCCCTCAGTATAACAAAAACTGGTGGATGCTCAAGGCTCTGATATAAAATGATGCAAGTATCCTCAACACAACCTATGAACATCTCCTGTCTACTTTAAATCACTCATATTTATATATCTAAATCAATGTAAATGCTATGTAAATGTTATAGTGGATTGTTTTTTATTGTATTTTTTATTGTTGTGTTGTAACTTTTAATTATTATTTTTTTCCGAATATTTTCAACTGCAGTTGGTTGAATCGAGGATGCGGAACCCCCAGACCAGAGGGCTGACGTGTATTTAGATTCTGACTGAAGATCTATGGAGTGACTCTCCAGTCACTGAGAAAACATCAGACAATTGCCAATGAGAACATTTTACTTTAAAAAGGAGGAGAAATTATTTTAAAAGGTCCAATGTAATGAAAGACAAAGTAAGGTTAACAAAACAATTTCACATTGATAAGGAGATTTAAAGAGACGTTGACAACTAGATGCAATATAATCTGGCCTGGGCCCAGAATGGGGAGGAAAAAATGCCCTAAACAACATTTTCTGATTGAAGCTGACAAAATGAAACACGAAGAGTACCTAAAAGTATCATATCGAAGTTGTAATCTATGAAGCTAAAGTATGATTGTACGTTAACCAAATTTCTGTCTC